TCCCAGTGGCTTTCAAACCCCAAAATACATTACGGCAAAGACTGGTCCAAAGGTCCAGTCCCCCGGCACAAACCGAATACTATTGTGTATGTTGTTCAGTGTCAGGGGGGTGATCAGTCTTACATCGGAGAAACTAAACAGCCACTGGCCAAAAGGATCAAAGTCAAAGTTTTTTTGTCATTCATTTCATTTATTTGTCAAGGATGGCCCAGCACAGAAGAGCAACATCATCAGGCCAGGACTCTGCGGTCTACACTCATCTCCAGGCCAGCGGTCACTCGTTCAGGGTTCAAGATGTTCACATCCTGGACAGAGAGGAACGATGGTTTAAAGGAGGAGTGAAGGAAGCCATCTTTGTGGAGAACCTCTCCATCATGAAACAGGGGCGGAGGCCTCCGTGTCCAACTGTCCCCCTCTTACAATGCTGTTATTGCTAGTATCACTCAGCCCTCTGTGAATAGTAAACAGCCATCAGGTGCTAATAATTAATTCTTATGCTGATAGTCCTCTATCATCTGAACATCTAGTTCTTGATGTCAACAGCAAACTGGTTGATCCACTATGAGAAGATGTCATTTATAAGACTGAGTTTGTTGCAGCTCCTCAGACTGAAGAAGTTTTTTTAGATAACAGATGAAACATTTCAACAAGAAGAACCGATCCAGAGGACCTGATTTAACTTTGTTAGAATTTTCTACCTGGATTATTGAGCATGCATCAGGATATTACATCTGGATCACTTTCCCAGACTGATTCCAGTGCAGAGAACTCTCCATCCTCCGTGTTTAAGATATTTCTCTGCTCCAACGCGCTTGGATCAAATTAATAAGTAATTAACAGACTTCTGACGAAGGTAATATCAAGCTGATGAGGTGACGTCATTTAAAACAAATATGTCAGGAAAACATCTAAAACGTGCAGACCAGCGGTCTCAGCAGAACCAGGTCTGAGAAAAACAGCAACACAGAGCAGCTTTGGCATGGTAATTTTGTTGACATACAGATGGTGACATCCATTGAAAAGCCACATTTAAATGGAGAAGTTCAACAGTTTTGATGTATTGGTGTAAATTTTTAGGCTCAGATTTGTTGAGTAAAGTATGCAAAAAATAAAAAATAAAACAAAACGAAAAACAAAAGCCAAGTGTTTTTTTGTTGTTGTTGTGTTTCTTAGTGGATTTAGTTGAGTTCTTTGTTGTCAGTGAGTATGGAGCCTCATTTAAATTTTTTTATAATCAATATAATTGGACAAGTATTAGAGTAAACTCTTCCAAACAGTTTAATATAGTTAAATAACCCATTTATTTTGTATGCTGCAATGAATAACTTTAAACTATTATGCTAATTTCTAAGCTTCCTCATCACATCCCAAAGAGATCGGCTACTAAGGAAGTGTTTCCAAGATGTTACTGCGAGATTAAAGCCAGCCTCCAGCATTAATAATCATGTAAAGCTGTAGAAAGAAGATTGTTTTTCTTGCGTGGAATTAGATACTTTAGAGAGGGTCTGGCTCTCAAGTGGAACAGAAGTTGCAGATCTAATCTTTAACAAGCTAAAAGATAGATAACGTTCTGATATCACTCCAAAAATCAAGAAGAAACTGAAAAAAGAAAAATTAAAAAAAAAATTGTACAGTGAATGCATTTAGATGTGCATTCCTATATATATATATACACACACACACACACACACACATATACATATATATACATATACATATATATACATATATATATACATAT